TGCAAGAAGTGTACGACCTGTGGGGTTGCCAAACGACCGAAGATTAAGGCAAGAGGGCCGATGCAACCACACAACGTCGGCTCGCCTTTTGGAAGAACTGCAGGAGAAGTATCGGGTCCCCTCCCAGCGACTGAAGAATGGAACAAGGACACGAAGAAGGTCAAAGGTTACGACGATGACTTGAAGGAGAAGCTGCTGAGCGTTCACGAAACTGTACGCCCCAAGAGCCAGGTGACGAGTGACAGAATGAAAACACGGTACGACCTTAAGGGTAACTCAGTAGGATTCCAGGCAGGGGATTTGGTATGGCTTTATAATCCCCGAAGAAGAAAAGCTCGTTGTCCGCATTTGTCACCAGACTGGGAAGGTCCGTATATTGTCGTGACGAGAATCAACGATCTCGTTTACAGGATTCGACAAGGGCCGAAGACGAAAATGAAGATTGTTCACTTGAGCCGCCTCATGAAGTACGACAGTGACACCATCGTTGCTTATCCGTGGCTTAATAAAGCAATATTTACTTAATGAGTTTAATGGAATGCGGACTTCTACTGGCAACACTAGCAACTGAGGTATCTTCAGCGCATGATCGTAACATGCAAAGTGTAACATGATTGGCAACAGCGACCGAGCATGCGCTCTTTCATTTCTTATTGTTAAGCAGAACTTTAAAATTTAAGAAGTCGCTACCTGCCGGCTTAAATTAAGCCCCTCTTAGAACACCCTAAGAAGCAGTTTTCGTGTTGGTGCAACGGTTTTCTGTTTTTAAGTATTGCTTAAATTTTAAGTATAGTTGCAATGCGTTGGTGCAAACGGACATTAGTGACTTTTCTGTCACTCAATCTCCCACCGTATGCAGTATACAATCCCGTTTAAATACAACTTAATAAAACATACCGGGTGTAGATTCCTTTTTGAAACATAAAGATTTTACATGTAAAAAGAAAAATTGGAAAATATTAGCTCCCCTAATTATTTTAGAGCAGAACGTTGAAAACAAAATGTTGAAGTAATGAATTTTATTTGATTGACACATGTTATGTTAGTACTAGTGTACCTATATAATATATAAATAAGGGTAGGGCAAACGATGACACTTGACAGCAATTTTTGATCCAAAATTCCGTCAAACAAATGTCAAAAAAACAGTATCGTCTCAAGTGGACAAGATCTAAAAGAAATAATTAAAACAATTTTAATAAAAATCAATTAATACAGGTTTTTTATTTCCGGTTTCATAAATTTTCAGCCAACTCTAGCATCGCGTGGCTTCTGCTGGACCATTTTAATTTCTGATCGACAGGATAGCGTGAATTTTAATTTTCTTGCCCAAAATTATCCATTGATCCCTTGCAAAATTATTACCACATACTCGCCCTTGTCTTGGAAGTTCGACATCATTTAGTTTAATCTTCCATTGACATCGCGCAAAAGATCCCCGCGGAATGCTTTTAAAGATTTTTCCATGTTCTGAATGGTTATGAGAACCTTTTATACTGCAAGCCGGTCATTTTTACTTCCCGAGCGTAAGCAAAGGAAGTATTGTAATCGAGTCCGTCGGCCGACTCTCTACTTTTACGTTTTCTCGATCTTTCATGACCCCTAGAAGACGAAGAAATAGGTCTCCCATTTCCGTCTGTCTGTCCGTCTGTCCGTCCGTCCGTCTGTCCGTCTGTCCGTCTGTCCGTCTGTCCGTCTGTCTGTCTGTCCGTCTGTCCGTCTGTCTGTCTGTCCGTCTGTCCGTCTGTCTGCCGTCCCGGATTTTTATTAGACAGATAATCTCCGAAAGTACTGGACCGAATGTTGTGAAATTTTGTACTTATATTAGGAATATCATGTAGATGGTAAAACGCTAACTAAAATTTGTCTAATCATCCCCACCACTTATGCAATGACGTCACTTCAAAATTGTACATAGTAAATGGGTTTTAAATTGTATAAAATAACATAGTCCTACATCTGTAGTTTACGACTCCGAATTGAGTTTTTACCCAAAACGTCCAGATTTTTGGAAAAAAAATCAAAATTATAAAACAAGATTTTGCAATTTAATTTTGAATCTGCAAACCCGAATGTTTTGAGATGTTGCAGATATTTTAAGGCTTTAAAGAGCATAATAAATCTTTAGTCAAAATATATTTGGTTATCCCCTCCAAAAACTTGATGACGTCAGCTCAAAAGTTCGCCGAATAAATCCGATCTAAAATGTACAAAATATGATGAGTCTGTACTTGTGATCTATCACTCCGTTCATATTTTTTGGATTTGCATACACAGGGTGACTCAAAAAAAATTAATGAATGTGTAAATTTATTTTACTAATTTACTCAGGAACTACAAAACCGAATGCTTTGAAATCTTGCAGATGTTTTAAGGTTATAAAGAGCATAATAAATGTTTAGTCAAAATATATTTGCTTATCCCCTCCAAAAAATTGATGACGTCAGTTCGAAAGTTTGCCGAATAAATCCTATCTAAACTGTACAAAATATGATGAGTCTGTGCTTGTGATTTATCACTCCATTCATATTTTTTGAATTTGCTTGTACAGGGTGACTCAAAAAAAATAATGAATGCGTAAATTTATTTTATTGATTTACCCAGGAACGACAAAACCGAATGCTTTGAAATCTTGAAGATGTTTTAAAGTTATCATAAGTATGGTAAGTTTTTGATCAAAATGTATTTGCTCATCCCCCCTAAAAAAATTATGACGTCACCACAAAATTTTGCTGAATAAATCCTATCTAAAATGTACAAAATATGGTGATTCTCTTCTTGTGATTTATCGTTCCATTTACATTTTTTGGATTTGCATATACAGAGTGACCCAAAAAAATTAATGAATGCGTAAATGTATTTTATCAGGAACTACGGAACCGAATGTTTTGAAATCTTGCAGATGTTTTAAGGTTATAAAGAGTATAATAAATTTTTAGTCAAAATATATTTGGTTACCTTCTCCAAAAAACTGATGACGTCAGCTCAAAAGTTTGCCGAATAAATCCTATCTAGGATATACAAAATATGATGAGTCTGTACTTGTAATTTGTCGTTCCATTTATATTTTGTGAATTTGCATATACCGGCTGACTCAAAAAAAAAAATGAATGCGTAAATTTATTTTATTGGTTTACTCAGGAACCACAAAACCGAATGCTTTGAAATCTACTGCGAAAAAAAAACATAATAGGCATGCAGTCGTCACGTTTCTGACAGCGAGGGAAGTACTATCTAAACTCTTTAGACCAATTTTTTCTACTCACTATACAGAAAATGTGATTTTCTTCCCTCATTTAAGGGCACAAAGTGTCACTTTACCTTTGGGCGGGAGGTAAACTATTTTGCCTCCCAACGGAAGGTAAAATACATTTTTGTCAAATTTATAATGTAGCTTTCAGCATCGAGAATTTTGAACACGATGGGGATGATTTTAATACTTTGGATTTTTCAAAAAAGTACGCGAGTACCACATTCTCTGATACCCTGTCCACATTTCTTTCACGACACCATTCCTTAAACAACAAATATTCTTGAAGTTATTTTTATTTCGACTTAGTGGCAACAAATTTAGCGTTGCTTCACTTGCTACTTCTAAAACGTCTAGAGGGATACAATCATAGGGTACAGTTATAATCTGAACCACTGCTTTCATTCAAATTCTCCATTTTTTCCAAACTTAATGCGTTTTAAGGTACACAAAACTACAATTCACGAGACGCTTTGTTCAAATGCAATTAATTTTTTATTTGTTTGAAAATTATCACTTAGTTTATTGCCGTAATAGTTTTTTCATTTAAACTTTAATAAAATTGATTTTAAATGTTTGTTCACTGAACCAAAAAAATATGATCACTCTTTCATTATGTTTTTGCCATTCCTCTTTCTTGCCAAGGCCAACTACCGCCCTCTAACTAAACATGCAGAACCACCAACTACCCTCAAGCGTTAACGTGCACATGGTTGCCTATGTTTAACGATTTTTGATGGCATTATTTTTCTCAAATTCAAATTATTCAAATGTGAATTCGCGCGGCTGTTAATAAATTTCAGCGCAAAAATTTGATTCAAATTCGGTCACCACAATATCACTTGAGCAAAATGCCATTTCTTCCCGCGGATTTAGCTTAAGGCTCGGCGCGTAGCGGAGAGGCTTAAAAATTTGATTCTGATGTTCTGGGATTTAGTATTGCGTTTTTTTTTTATTGTGAATTTCGTGAACTGACGTTATGACGGTCCGGCTTCCTGATTTTTTATTATTTGGATGGTAAAAAATGCACTTTTGTACGAGTTTTGATTTCAATGTTTAGGGTATATTTACTTGATGAATTTTGGGTTAGTATCACTGAAAGTCAAGATCCGTACCGCTTTCCAAATTTATTTCACAACAAATCGGCTATTGTCTCATCGGCCAAAATTTGATAATGGTGTGGTAGATTGCTCATCTTTTTTAATAGTAACCGTTTGCGTTGAAAATTCGCATTTCAATTTGGTTTTACGAATGTGACATTTGACACTTATTCTTATCAATGACAAAGCTAATGCAAAAAAAATATTTTTTTTTAAAAGCAGTACAAAAAATTATTTACAGTTGCGGCCCCCCAAAAGTGCATGATAATTTTCTCTATTATATCTTCAAATCAAGGACACTCGAATAACAAAATTTGTCAAATTTGACATTTTGTTTACTCAAAAATGCTGCGCCACTGGTAATAGCCAGACTTACATTAATTTAAAAATTCAAAAAATTCTATAACAACGAAAAATCGTGCACTTTTGGGAGGCCGCAATTGTACATTACTCACGCGAAAGCCGAGTGTATATAACTTGCTTACATGCAGCTCTCTCGCTGCGCCGTCGAGCCACATTCCCGCTCGTTATGCCACTCGGTACTTTCGGCGCTTGTAATGTAAATAACTATTGCTTAATTCGAAACAACGATTGCATTAGTTGTCCCCATAATTCTAAAAGCTCTGCAGTAACATAATTTACTTTTTCAGTTGTCACTCAGGCGTTCAGAGTGGATGTTGAAGTTATTGGTGCACCAAGAGGTTGTTCCGCTGTTTTGAAGTGCATAGTACCAACATTTGCAAAGGAATTGGTTAGAATAATTTCTTGGATTCAAGAGCCAACATTTTTTATTTATCCGTCTTTACAAGGAGGTATGTAAACTAATGCATTTGCTATTGTTCAGCTATGTAATGTTGATCATAAACCTTATAAAATACAGGGCGATTCGCCTAAATAACAAATGTGATTTATGATTAGCGGCAACCCAAAATACATTATTCATTTATTCCTTGATTAACACCAGAGTAGAATTTGTTAGTCTTTTACATCCGGCGAACAAAATATTGACTTACGCCAATTCCTCTCGCGATTGACCGTTGCCCATTGTGAAAGTCAGTCTCCAAAACTCAAATCTAGTTGTTCAAATGTGTAACGGTTAAAATACTTTTTCGTTTACTCACAGACCAAAGGTTTCGTAATTTAGTTTAAAGTCTTCTGAAAGTTTTATCTGTTGGATCTCTACGTTCAGAATACTTCTGGGTGTACAAATTTGTCGTCACTGGAACATTTTTTTGACACTGCTCAAAATTGACAGTGACATAAGAATGCAAACTTGAATTAATGATATTTTTTAAATTCTGCTATGAATCCAGGAACAGAAAGAAAATGTATTTTGGGTGGCCCTATAGGCCGTTCGTCATTTACGCTGAATCGGCCTGTATTTTGTTTAGTTTTTCATTACTGCATTGCATATGAATATTTCTGTAACAGAAAATACTTATCTCGCTGTTTGAGTTTGTCAATACAAAGTCAAAAACACATTTTAACGAGTACGTTCCATGAAAAATACGAAACTTATTACACTTCACTAGTTGAACAGATGGTTAATCAATGTTTAGTTCCCTGTCATACTGCATTTTGTTAAAAATTGCTAAAATTATTAAACAGATTTTTATGTAATTTTCGCACCATCACAAGAGCAGATTTGAACCACACACCCTTAAATCTGTCGAACACCGAAGAAATCCATACCTCCCACAGAATAGACAAAATAATAAGTGGGCTAAAACAAAAACAACTACATGGAAAATTCTACAAAGACTTAGAAGAAACTCATGTCAACAAGAAGATGTCATTGATTTCGTTAAAAAAATTAAGTTTGTCTGCCGAAACAGAAGGATTTGTGTTTGCTATTCAAGACCAAGTAATCAATACCAAGAATTACAGAAAATACATCATCAAAGATCCGAATATAAGAAACGACTGCTGTCGCCTCTGCAAAAAAAAACCTGGAACGATTCAGCACATAATCTCCTGCATCATCCTGGCACAAACTGACTACAAAGCTAGACACGACAACGCAGCCAAAATCATTCACAAAGAATTAGCAACATTTATTAACTTAATCGAAGATACGACACCTTATTACACTTACATTCCATCCCCGTTCCTTGAAAATAACAAATACAATCGCACAATACTTACAGACTTAAACATTACAGCTAACAGACCAGACATCATACTTATCAAAAAACAACGAACGAAGCCATTCTCATTGACATTGCTATTCCTAACACAAACAACATTATTCAAACATATACCACACCAAGATTTCAAAATATCTACAATTATCGATAGAAATGAAATCCATGTTGAATCTTAAAAAAATTTCAATTTTACCCTTAGTTATCTCTAATTTAGGAGTAGTCCGAAATAGCTTAGTTGAGAACTGATGTTATCAATTCGTTTAAATTTTAGTCTAGTTTGTTGTATAACTGTACACTTACATAGTTTGGATTTGTGTTACATTAACTAAGTCTAGCAAAATTTTGATACAAGTCGTCAGAACATAAACTATAAGAATGTAATTCATTGTTTTTTACAAATTCAGTTCTTTTACTGTGTACACGCAGCAAGATTTACAAAATAAACAAACTTGGCAGTGTTAAAATTTTATATTTTTTGAATAGCGGTTTACATGAATAATACGTTTTGAACCCTTCCATGAATCTCAATGCTTGTTTCTGTATTTTAAAAATGTCGTTACTGCTACTTGACAATCCCCAAAAAACAAGTCCATACATCATGACTGATTGAAATAATCCAAAGTACCTACGCGAGCCTCAAGATGTCAAAAGATACTGTATGTTTTAATGTCCTCAAAATGTAGCATACTGATGAGAGTTTTTTACAGAGTTGAATTATGTGAGAGTGCCATAGTAGTTTGTTGTCAATTAATAATCCCAAAAATTTGGCTTCACTTTTTTGAATTATTGTTTTTCCATTTAATTTTATGTATAAAGAAGATTCGTAGTTAATATTTTGAGATATAAACTGAACCATACATGTTTTAGAGGTGTTAAGCTTCAGCCCATTTGCCATCGACAAGTTCAGTATTTCTTTACATGCATTGTTACCATTAGTAACCAACGGATTAGTTATTATAAAGTTTGTATCATCTATGTAATTAGCTTTTTTTGCTGTTGGACAATTATCATCAATGTCATTTACAAAAGCGATGAAAAGCAAAGGACCGAAAGTCGACCCTTGGGGTACGCCCATAGTTATTTTGTTTGCTTCTGAAATTGTTTTATCGATTACTACTTTTTGTTTTCTATTGCTTAAGTAGGATGTTATCCACTTTTCACTGATTCCTCTAACACCCATTTTTTCTAATTTATTAATAAACAGTTCATGATTTATAGAGTCAAATGCACTACTAAAATCGAAAAATATTGCAGCAATATTATCTTTTTTGTTAAAAGATTTTCCAATGAAAGTGATAAAGTCTTCAATTGCTGTCAGGGTCGATTTATTTTTTCGATAGCCATGTTGTGTATTAACATGTGATTTTTTTCAAAAAAACTGTATAATCTCAATGTCATAACTAATTCAAACACTTTGGATATTTGACTTTGAATACAAATTGGTCTCCACGAGTTTTTGTTGTCTGGAGACCCCTTATTACTTCCCGAGCGTAAGCAAAGGAAGTATTGTAATCGAGTCCATCGGCCGACTCTCTACTTTTACGCTTTCTCGGCTTTTCATGACCCCTAGAAGACGAAGAAATAGGTCTGCCATTTCCGTCTGTCTGTCCGTCTGTCCGTCTGTCCATCTGTCTACCGTCCCGGATTTTTATTAATAGAGAGCGGAAAATATGCAAAAAAATTTTGGCAAATATGATCATATGATATGCACCAAATTTATGCAAATATGCAGTAACTTTCTTAATATATGCAGAGATATGCAGTTGCATGTGCTCCAAAAATAAAAAAAAAGCGTAATAACCAAACTAAATTTATTTACAAATTACGAAAACAGGTTTCCCGAGCTTACGTTTTATTACAAAAAATACATAAATCACATTGCAAGGTGTTTGATTACATCTCACTAACACATAAATCACATTTTTAAAGGTAATATTCTTATACTAAAAAACAAATATAAACAGAACAAATTAAAAAATAGCAGTAATCGACTATTTAATTACTATTTTGGTAACAATTTATTTTTAAATATTTTTCGAATATTCTAACAAAAAGTTTTCCCGTGATTTTAAAGTATGTATTTGTAAATAGAAAAACTGCATGCTACGTTAACAGATGTAAAAATAGAGCAGGCGCGACAAAATACAGCTCCTTCTTGAAGAATAAGTTCAGGAAAAGGTTTAATCCATAAATTAATTTAAGTCATCTTCGACATATTGACACACCTGTATTGCCTTAAATACTTTCAATGCAAACTCACGATGAAAAATAATAGGATAACGTCCCTTCGACCACCATAAAACACACCATTAATACACTTAAGTAACGAACAAGAATACTGGGAATGAACCGTACATATTTCCAAAAGTAATTAGGGCCTGAATTTACCTGGAAGAATGGCTTAACACCCAGTGGTTTCTCCAAACTACTATATAACCCAAACATTTCCTACTTATTTGAAGCTCTTGAGAATATTTGCAATGATTCACGAAATTTCGTCTTTCTAGTTAAATGCCAAAAGAATGACAATTTTTTTTTAAATTAGCACAAAAATTGATAAATTTGTAAAATATGCACTCGTTACGTGAAATATGTGGCATATATGCAAATATGCAATTTTTTATAGCTGTATAAATTTTTAATTAGCATGATTCGTTCACATACTAAATATCATATTACTTATATATGCAAAAAATAAAGGATATGCAAATTTTATAAAATCCGCTCTCAATTTATTAGACAGATAATCTCCGAAAGTACTGGACCGATTGTTGTGAAATTTTGGACTTATACTAGGAATATCATGTAGATGGTAAAACGCTAACCAAAATTTGTCTAATCATCCCCACCACTAATGCGATGACGTCACTCCAAAATTGTACATAGTAAATGGGTTTTAAATTGTATAAAATAACATAGTTCTACACATGTAGTTTATGACTCCGAATTCAGTTTTTACCCGAAACATCCAGATTTTTGGAAAAAAATTCAAAATAATAAAACATTTTGCATTTTAATTTTAAATCTGCCAATCCGAATGCTTTGAAATGTTGCAGATGTTTTAAGGCTGTAAAGAGCATCATAAATCTTTGGTCAGAATATATTTGCTTATCCCCTCCAAAACATTGATGACGTCAGCTCGAAAATTTGCCGAATAAATCCTATCTAAAATGTACAAAATATGATGAGTCTGTACTTGTGATTTATCACTCCATTCAAAAAAATAGATAATAGGCATGCAGTCGTCACGTTTCCGACAGCGAGGGAAGTGCTGTCTAAACTCTTTAGACCAATTTTTTACATTTACTTTAACATTACATATTTACATATATTTATTTCAACTTATAGGGGTCCTCATAAAAAATTTAAAAAATTGGTCTAAAGAGTTTAGACAATACTTCCCTCGCTGTCGGGAACGTAACGACTGCAAGCCTATTATGTCTTTTTTGTATTACATTTTTGTAATTCTTGATTTAAACAATAAAATTAATTGACTCAGTCAATAATTTTTTTCAGACACTCTGTATATGCAAATCTAAAAAATATGAATGCAGTGATAAATCACAAGTATAGACTCATCCTTCTTTACACATTTAAGTATTTCTTCAGCAAAATTTTGCGGTGGCGTCATCAAATTTTTAGGGGGGATGAGCAAATACATTTCGATCAGAATTTTACCATGCTTGTGATAAATTTAAAACATCTCCAAGATTTCAAAGCATTCGGTTTTGTAGTTCCTGATTAAATCAGTAAAATAAATTCCCACTTTAATTTTTTTTTTGAGTCACCCTGTATATGCAAATCCAAAAAATATTAATGGAACGATAAATCACAACTACAGACTCATCATATTTTGCACATTTAAGGTAGGATTTATTCAGCAAAATGTTGAGGTGACGTCATCAATTTTTTAGGAGGGGATTAGCAAATACATTTTGACTATAAATTTATCATGCCTATGACAACTTTAAAACATCTCCAAGATTTCAAAGCATTCGGTTTTGTAGTTCCTGATTAAATCAATAAAATAAATTCCCACTTTCATTATTTTTTTTGAGTCACCCTGTAAATGCAAATCCAAAAAATATTAATGGAATGATAAATCACAACTACAGACTCATCATATTTTACACATTTAAGATAGGATTTATTCAGCAAAATTTTGAGGTGACGTCATCAATTTTTTAGAGGGGATGAGCAAATACATTTTGACTATAAATTTATCATGCCTATGACAACTTTAAAACATCTCCAAGATTTCAAAACATTCGGTTTTGTAGTTACTGATTAAATCAATAAAATAAATTCACGCATTCATTAATTATTTTGAGTAGCCCTGTATATGCAAATCCAAAAATCTGAATGGAATAATAAATCACAACTACAGACTCATCATATTTTACACATTTAAGATAGGATTTATTCAGCAAAATTTTGAGGTGACGTCATCAATTTTTTAGAGGGGATGAGCAAACACATTTTGACTATAAATGTATCATGCCTATGACAACTTTAAAACATCTCCAAGATTTCAAAGCATTCGGTTTTGTAGTTACTGATTAAATCAATAAAATAAATTCACGCATTCATTAATTTTTTTGTCACCCTGTATACGCAAATCCAAAAAATATGAAGTGGATGATAAATCACATGTACAGACTCATCATATTTTGTACATTTTAGATAGGATTTATTCGGCAAACTTTTGAGCTGACGTCATCAATTTTTTGGAGGGGATAAGTAAATATATTTTGATTAAAAATTTATCGTGCTTGTCATAACTGTAAAGCATCTGCAAAATTCCAAAGCATTACAAATTAAATGTCAAAATGTTGTTTCCTAATTTTGATTTTTATTCCAAAAATCTGGACGTTTCGTGTAAAATCTCAATTCAGAGTCATAAACTACATGTGTAAGACTATGCTATTTGATACAATTTAAAACCCATTTACTATGTACAATTTTGAACTGAGGTCATGGCATTAGTGGTGGGGATGATTAGACAAATTTTGGTTAGCGTTTTACCATCTACACGATATTCCTAACATAAATACAAAATTTCGCAACAATCGGTCCAGTACTTTCGGAGATTATCTGTCTAATAAAAATCCGGGATAGACGGACAGACGGACAGACGGACAGACAGATGGAAACGGGAGACCTATTTCTTCGTCCTCCAGGGGTCATGAAAGGCCGAGAAAACGTAAAAGTCGAGAGTCGGCCGACGGACTCGATTACAATACTTCCTTTGCTTACGCTCGGGAAGTAATAAAAAATATATCATTTTTCGAAAATGCTGGATATGATTCATTGCACTTCAGAAGCGAAGAAACTTCTGTCGCAACAACGTTAGACCAAGTTTTATGAATAAAAATGGTGGACAAAAATACATGGCACACAAAAGCAAGCTTTTGACATTTGAAAACGTCAGTCAAAAACTGACAAGTGAGGCCAAAAATTAGTCATTATTAGCCAAGGTTGCAAAGCCAAGCATTCTAGACCGAGCGGAAATTAGAACCCGAGACGCACAGCGTCGACGGCTCTAAAGCGCGAGGTCTAGAAGTGGCTTTACAACCGTGCATGGTTAATATACTATTTTTTTCACTAGTAGAAACCATAAGACAATAAATTGAAAAAATAAAGGTTCAATTTTTTGACGCAACATGATTTTGTTTTGATTTCTAATCAAACTTGATCTAAATTTTCAACACAAAGAAAACCGTTTACACTTGTCCCTGAATTAATCATTTTATCTTCCACCGTCTACCAACTACCATGCGTATAATCAAGTAATGTTAGTAGCACAAATTTACTCATTTTTTAAGAAATAATCACATCAAGTATTTCGTACATAACCTAAAGCTTCTTTTTGAACCTTGGTCTCAAAAGTTGAACTTTGCTACCTCTAAATAAGTCGACATTTGCATGCTTTATGGCTGCTAGTGAAAAAACTAATGTTTTCATTTCTGTGCAAAAAAAAAACGAGTAGATTTTTGCAATGGTTGGCTAAAGACACAATTCCAAGGTTGTCTTAAAATTTATTTTTAGTCTTTTTAGGCTATTTAGTATTGAGCAAAAATCCTCAAAATATGTGTGGAAGTTGATTAAAATGAAGTTTAGTTAAGTTCTAGTACACAAGACCGAATTTACCACCCGTTATATCACCAACCCTTTTTTAAAATCATGACGTCCGTACTACCAGATGGGTATTTCTAATTGTATAAATATTTTTACAGATGGAAAATTTCATCAACTGCCATCAGGAGAACTTCTCATTCACAACTTAGAGTTTAGTGATCAGTTTCCAACATATCGTTGCAGAACTATGCATCGTCTAAGCCGACAAGTCATAGTTAGCAGTCCCGCGAATGTAAGAATTACAGGTAAGTACTGTAACACTGGCCAAGTTGCACAGTTATCTAAATATAAATTCGTATTCTTCATTTTGATATTCTGTTTGAACGTGAGCGTTTAAAAAATTTAGATTATACATTTCTGCAATATTGTTATTTGAAAGTAGATACATATAATATATCTAAAGAGATCTGATTAGTTTCGTCCAAAAATATTATCACTTTCAAAGTTTGTGGAGAGAGGTTGAATTTATCACACTATCATTCTTGAGATTAATAATATAAATTGTTTAGTGTTTGCCACGAATATTTTCCGTAAGGAATAGGGATAGTAAACGAAAAAACGAGAAGACAACAACCAAAAAAGGGTAGATGCTCAAGTCTCGGGCCGAAAACTATAGGCACTAGCGAAAGCGTATATTAAAAGAAAGTTAGCGTATAACTACATAATGTAATAAAAGAAAGATAATTAAAAAAAGCACACAATTACAAAATTAGCTATGAGATTATAACCCCACTTATTAGTAAAAAACTACCAGCTACGATACTAGTGGTTACAAATTAGGAGAAAATTACATTAGCCAATAACATGTGACGTCACGCTGTGGCGGGAACTCAGCGTTTGACAAGCGCCGTGAAACTCCATAAGTGACAATGTTAACATTTTCGCATTTTATTTAAAAGTGTGGGTATTTATCTAGAAAATAAACACGTGGATATCTTCTTTCATTTCTTTTCTGTGTATCAGGGTGCTTTTTTGGCGATTTCAGTTTAAAAAACCATAATAAAAATAAAAATTCAGAACGCTGTTTTGGTTTGAATTCCTCGTCACCCAAAATACATCCGTGTGTTTTAAGCGGTAAATCGGAAATTAATATTTTCGTTTGAAGTTAATGTGACGGGTTTAAGTGAAGGTGTGTGATTTGTTTTTAAAGTGTGGATAATTTAAGTGATTATGCACGATGTCTTTCCGTCAAAGAGAAAAGCAGATATGTATAAAAGTTAAACAATTTAAACGGCGTAGATCCTTATACAATGAGTGCAAGTGATTTTAATTTGTATTTAGACGATTTGCCTACCATAACAACGAATACCATTCTAAACTTTTTTATTTTTGGAATAAGTAAAATAACCCACAATGAAATTCGTGCATTCAAAACTCTAGAGGCATTTATTCAGTTTTCTCTTTTTTAAATGAATGTGTCTTTCAACATTACAACTATTATGAGTGGATTTATTTTGATATCCTAAATTTTATGATGGAACATAATCAGGATGGTCCACATCCGACAAATCTGCCTAAAAGAGCACCAATGTAGTAATTTATTAGAAACTGTAAATCTAATAGGTAGTTACTGTACCTAAAAAAATTGGTCTAAAGAGTTTAGACAGTACTTCCCTCGCTGTCGGAAACTTGACGACTGCATGCCTGTTGTGTTTTTTTTCTCATTACATTTTTGTAGTGGGAATTTAAAAAAAAAATGCGATGACGTCATCAACATTTTTGCAAGGACACGTATATCAGTTGGGATAGATGTAGTGTAATACTAAGAATAAAATTATTATATTCTCAAATTTTCGGGAAAATGAATTGGGTCGTTTTGAATATTGATTTGTAATAATCAATAAAATAACGAGACAATTTACTCACGTATACGTATCAGAGGCAACTGAAAATCGTGTATGTATAAACATTCTTAATTTAAGATGACAAGCGTAACAGCATACGTGAGAGTCAAACAGAGAAACTGTAAACAAAACGACCATCAGTTTTATTGCTTCGACTTCCGCTTATTATATAAAACATTGGGTTTTATTTTAATTCTTGACGGTGAAATTCACAATTGGTTGATTATAAATATGTCTATTTCACATTCGCGGAACCAAGTGAGCGCATAAAACAAATGCAGGTCTGTAATGTTAAAGTCGATGTAAATAAGCGTGCTACCCTTATGTTTCAACCGAGTTTTTCCTTTAACAAATTTTGTGTCTACCAAATTGGGTTGGTTGGGGTGTAATACTAATAATAAGTGTTGCCTTTAATTTAATCAATAAAATAAATTGACTTCATTAATTTTTTTGAACCACCTCTTAAGAAAATCTAAAAAATATGAATGGAATGATAAATCACAAGTACAAACTCATCATATTTTTTGCATTTTAGATAGGATTTATTCAGCAAAATTTAAGGGTGACGTCATCAATTTTTTTAGGAGGGATGAACAAATACATTTTGAACAAAAGTTTACCATGCTTATAATAACTTTAAAATATTCCCAAGATTTCAAAGCATTCGGTTTTGTAATTCCTGATTAAATCGATAAAATAAAATAAATTCACGCCTTCATTAATTTTTTTGAGTCACCCTGCATATGCAAATCCAAAAATATGAATGGAATGATAAACCACAAGTACAGACTCATCATATTTTGTACATTTTAGATACGATTTAATCGGTAAACTTTTGAGCTGACGTCATCAAGTTTTTGGAGGGGATAAGCAAATATATTTTGACTAAACATTTATTATGCTCTTTATAACCTTAAAACATCTGCAAGATGTCAGAGCATTCCGTTTTGTAGTTCCTGATTAGATCAATAAAATATATTTACGCATTCATTAATTTTTTTGAGTCACTCTGTATATGCAAATCCAAAAAATATGAATGGAGTGATAAATGACAAGTACAGGCTCATCATATTTTGTACATTTTAGATATGATTTATTCGGCAAACGTTCGAGCTGACGTCATCAAGTTTTTGGAGGGGATAAGCAAATATATTTTGACTAAACATTTATTATGCTCTTTATGACCTTAAAACATCTGCAAGATTTCAGAGCATTCGGTTTTGTAGTTCCTGATTAAATCAATAAAATATATTTACGCATTCATTAATTTTTTTGAGTCACCCTGTATATGCAAATCCAAAAAATATGAATGGAGTGATAGATCACAAGTACAGACTCATCATATTTTGTACATTTTAGATATGATTTATTCCACAAACTTTTGAGCTGACGTCATCAAGTTTTTGGAGGGGATAAGCAAATATTTTTTGACTAAAGATTTATGATGCTCTTTATAGCCTTAAAACATCTGCAACATTTCAAAGCATTCTGGTTAGCAGATTAAAAATTAAATTTCAAAATGTTGTTTTATAATTTTGATTTTTTTTCCAAAAATCTGGACGTTTCGGGTGAAAAGTCGATTCAGAGTTGTAAACTACATGTGTAGGACTATGTTATTTTATACAATTGAAAACCCATTTACTATGTACAATTTTGAAGTGACGTCATCGCATTAGTGGTGGGGATGATTAGACAAATTTTGGTTAGCGTTTTACCATCTACATGATATTCTTAATATAAGTACAATATTTCACAACAATCGGTCGAGTACTTTCGGAGATTATCTGTCTAATAAAAATCCGGGACGGCAGACGGACAGACGGACGGACAGACGGACGGACAGACGGACAGACGGACAGACGGACAGACGGACAGACGGACAGACAGACGGAAATGGGAGACCTATTTCTTCGTCTTCTAGGGGTCATGCAAGATCGAGAAAACGTAAAAGTAGAGAGTCGGCCGACGGACTCGATTACAATACTTCCTTTGCTTACGCTCGGGAAGTAATAAAATGATCCGAACAAACATAGGAATACTTTACTTTGGCTTCGTTAAATCCACCCGTTTCACGGCTTTTAACCAAAGCTTCGGCCTTTTTTCCCCATCCTGTATATATTTACCTTTATTGTTGCTAATTGCTGAGAAAGGAAAATAAAATTTGTCCGCATTTCTGGTGCTTCGATTCGCGCAACCCACAACAGCATAAAATTTAGGCATTTTCTCCTAAAATACAAAATATTATAATATTAAGATGCTAGTGTATTTAAAAAACATTGATGTACATTAATAAAGAATTAATTTGCAAAACAAATAATATAAGATGCAGCGAAGTTAACCTGTACATCACAATGGAAAATATTATTTTTTAAGCATATTCAAACGTTATGGTGCGTTTTACAGATATCTACACAGTCTAGAAACTGTAACAAACTTACCAGACTATAAAAACACAGTTGACACACTCTCAAATTTAAATGAATTCCGAAAATATTAGCATTGACTCTTATGAGAAAACCGGCTAGTTGTCAAACGCTGCCATCTTGATGACCTCGGATGACGTCAGTGTATTTGGCTAATTCTACATACTATGTCACTAGACCCTTTTTGTGTTTGGTAAATTAATTAAACATAATTAAGCAGTTCGTGGGGATTAAGTATAAACTGTGTCTAGTATATTAATGACTATGTGATTAACAAATAAGATAAATAAGAGGCTTGCGGTTTTACCAAACTAGTATTTAACATTGACAGCTATTAGCCATTAGCTGTAATTAAAATAATAGAATATCAAACGAAAAAAAAGTGCTTGTCGTGATAAATAATGCATAGTAAAAAGAGAAAAACCCATACCAAAAAAATTGGTCGAAAATCATTTTAAAGAACTTTCTCCCCCTGAAGTAAACAGATCCTGCTTCTTTGAAACATTAAAAAATAATTATTTTGAGAAGTTTTATTTATGATAACCTTTATACATTAAAACAGCAACTAATAAATAGCCGCTTAAAATACGACCCCAAATTTTTCTGCTCATTTATTAATTCAAAAAAAGTATCGAATTTTATTCCATCAAGCTTGACTTTTAAAAGCAAAAATCTGTCTACACCTGAGGAAATTGTTGACGCCTTTGTGAATCACTTTGCGCAATCATTCGTGAACAGCAAGTCAATTAATATTGATAAGACAAATGCGAGTCTTAATAAAAATGTTCTTGTAAGTAGTTAAGTAAATCTGTCACGGATGATGTTGTGTACAGAGCTATTAAAAAATTGAAAGATAACATGACAACTGGCCTAGATCAAATATCTGCGTTTGTTCTAAAACACTGTGGTTTCACAAAAACAAAGGTTTTTGTGAAATCTTTAACAATCTCATTATAACAACTAGTACATTTTCCAATA